CAGAGACCGCGTGACGCGGGGGTTCGAAGACAGAGTATCAAACAACGCCGCCCGCCTTGAAGGGTTCGCCTTCAACGTGCTAAGCTAAATGAATTATAATGCTCAAAGAATTTCAATAGGCGGTCAATTTACCGGTTGAGAAGTTGTATTAATTCTAGGGTCGCAAGCTTAAAAAATAAATGACTAATTAAACCTTAACGCAATGTATTAAACGATTTAACGCGCGAACTTGAACACAAAAGAACATTTACAACAACAAAAATTAGCGAATGATTATAAGTCGGTAAAAGAAAAGTACAATGAAATTGGAGTAATTGAAAATCTGGAAGTTAAAGAGGTAATATGGCCAATTTGGTGAGCGGCCTAACATAAGAGCCCTTGTTGGTTTTAACGGTGGCCGAGCGCGCTACACCATCAGATCCGATGTGTATTTCCTGGACGCGTCCGATTGGCCATTGCAGGGGAGCTGTCGCTTGCTGCTTTATTATGACCAGTTGTCCCGTTTCCAGTTGCTGGCCCTTGGAAGTCTGCCATTTGTTTCTTTGCTGCAGGGTGTTGAGATACTCCTGACTCCATCTACGCCAAAAGTGCTGACGCATTTGCTCAATTATTTGCCAACGCAATAACTTATTTACATTTATATCATTTAAATCCGAGGTAGGAAAACTATTCAACGGAGCCCCGACCAGAAAGTGCCCGGGACTTAGATAATTCATGTCATTGGGATCCGAACTTAATGGAGTGATAGGTCTCGAATTCAAGATTGCTTCTATTTCACATAGAACGGTTTGCATTTCCTCGAAAGTCAAGTGGGCGCTGCCTATTATGCGTGCTAGGTGAAATTTAACGGATTTGACCGCAGCCTCCCATAGCCCACCGAAATGCGGAGCGTTGGGGGGGATAAAGCTCCACTCAGTTTTTTGTTCATGTAAGAAATGCTCTATGGGACTTCGAGTACTGTCGGCCTTAAGGAATTCATAAAATTCTTTTATTTGCTTTTGAGCTCCAACGAAATTAGTCGCGTTATCAGAGTAGATACGTTCCGGTTTCCCCCTACGCGAAATAAGCCTCTTGAGAGCAGCGATGAACGCGTCGGTGGTAAGATCGCTAACAAGCTCTAAGTGTACCGCCTTAGTCGCGAAGCACACGAAGACGGAAATGTACGCCTTATGATTACGCGAGTTACGACGCTTACCCTCCCGCAATATTATCGGGCCGGCGTAATCCACTCCGCAATGCGTGAACGGACGTGATACGGTAACGCGACTCTCTGGTAAGGAACCCATCAATGCCTCAGAGGAGATAGGTTTTACTCTAAAGCAGGTCACACAACTGGCAATCATCTTTCGCGTTGCCGACCTCAAAGAGAGCGGCCAGAATCTTTGTCTTACTGCTGCCATGGTGGCTTGTACGCCCGAATGCATGTTGCGGACGTGTTCTAATTCGATTATTCGTTTAGATAAATCGTGATGTCGCGGCAATACTATCTGATGACGAGCGTCGAAGGCAAGAGAAGAGTTCTTCAATCTTCCTCCTACTCGAATTAGTCGGTCCTCGTCCATGAATGGGGAGAGACACAAAAGATTGCTAGTCTTCTTGATTTCGCGGTGATTAATTAAAGAATCATATTCATCTGCGAAGGATTGTTTTTGGATGACCCTACAAATTACGTTTAACGAATAAGTCATTTCCTTGGGCGATACAGAAATAGTCAACGATTTCTTATTCTGGGGAGTTAATGCCCTAAGACAATAAGCGACGATGCGACAAATTTTGTTTATATTAGAGAACTTGTTAAGTAGGTCAACAATGACGTTAGGATATGAGGGTGCAGCAACGGCACAAATTTTCCTTTGTTCGGGAATTTCATTGAGTAAGACAAATTCGCTATTAGGCCATTGCTGTTCGGGTAATTGCAGAAACGGGGGTCCGTTCCACCACATATGTGACTGTGTTAGCTCATTAGGGAGCATTCCTCGTGACAATACGTCCGCTGGATTATCGGATGATGCCACGTGACGCCATTGACGCGGTTCGGTTAGCCTTTGAATTTCACCGACACGATTTGCGACGAAAGGCAACCATTTGCGTGACGGAGAGGAGATCCAATTTAGAGATATGGTGGAATCCGACCATAGGGTAATATTCGCGTTAGATATACTAAAAGATGCCTTGACTTTGTCGATTAATTGGGCAAGTAACAAAGCGGCTGACAATTCTAATCGCGGAAGAGACACTGCCTTGAGCGGAGCGACTCGAGATTTGGAGCAGAGCAGAACAGACTTGTATTTATGTTGTCCTGTCTTAGTGCGAACGTATAAGCATGCACCGTAAGCGCGCTGACTGGCGTCGCAAAATCCGTGCAAATCAAAGTCCTGACTATGAGTACAATCTTTAACACAGCGAGGAATCTGTAGCTGCTTAATGTCGGGTAGCTGTAGTTTGAGCTGCAGCCATTTAGTGTGAGTATCCTGAGGCACTGACTCATCCCAATCAAGGCCTGATTGCCAGAGATCCTGTAATACGAGTTTTGCAATTACAATGATGGGACCTAGCAAACCTAGTGGGTCAAACAATCGTGATACCTCGGATAATATCAAGCGTTTAGTCACGGGACCGGAAACGAGACTGGGTTGATAAGAGAATCGGAAAAAATCACCATCCTGATCCCAGAGAATGCCCAAAATACGAACATCGCTATCCGTTTGAAATGATACAATCTTGTCTCCGCGGGGGCTTACGCCTGACAGCAGTTCGGGGCAATTGGATCCCCACTTACTGAGTTCGAACGACGCTTCTCTGAGTAATTGTATAGTCTGATCGCGAATCTCGAGTGCATCTTCAATCGTTTCAGCGCCCGTGAGCATATCGTCAACATAAAAATCTCGTATAACGCACAGTGAACCGAGAGGATATTGTTGCGCACGTTGCTTTGCGTGGTGTTTTATTGTATTTGTGGCAACGAAAGCGGCTGCCGCGGTTCCGTAGGTGACGGTCATCGCTTCATAGACTTCAATGTTTGAATTATTATCCTTACGCCAAAAGATTCTATGTAATCGCGTTTGAGAAGGGTGAAGCCGCACTTGTCGATACATTTTTGTTATATCGGCCACGAGAACGACCTTATGAATGCGAAAACGGAGAAGTATGGATGCGAGATCCTGCTGAACAACAGGACCGACGAGCATGAGATCATTCAGAGAAAATCCGGTATCAGTTTTGCATGAGGCATTAAAAACTACGCGTATTTTGGGTCCCTCAGTGGTTTGTTTGAAAACACAATGATGAGGTATATAATAGACACCCTGTTCGTTCGGCGATTGCTCGTTTATTAGTTCCATGTGCCCTAACGCGATGTACTCCTCCATGAATTCAGAGTAAAGCGCTTTTAAAGTAGGGTCGCGGTCGAGACGCCTTTCTAATGCGCGAAAACGATCCAATGCAATTCCTCTAGAATGCCCGAGGCTGTGTGCCCAACCTTCTTTTAAAGGCAATTTAACAACGTATCGTCCTTGAGAATCGCGAGTAACAGTCTCTAAAAAGTATCTTTCGCAGTCTTGTTCCTCGGAGGTATAATTGTTAGGATTGTTGGGAATATCCTCAATTCGCCAAAATCGTTGAAGCTGATTATGTAATTCGTCGTTGCTTATAGTAGTGTGAAGAACGATTGCTTTCTGATTTTGCGAGACGCGCGTGCCCATACGACCACCCATGATCCAACCGAATCTCGTTTTCTGTAACGTTGGATGGTTTAAAGAGGCCTTGATTTGACCCACGCATAAGAGAGTCCAAAAAACTTCCGCGCCGACAAGAATGTCAATATCCGAGGATACGTTAAAATTAGGATCGGCTAACTCAATGTTTTGCGGTAAGTTAAACGCCGATTTTTTCATGCTGAAAGCGGGAACGCTATCGGTTACGCGATTAGTTACTATGCAATCGAGCGTAACGGAAAATGAATTTAGTCGCGACTGTAGTTTTACATGAACCGCTTCTGTGGAACGCGTAGCTGTGCCATTTATGCCTGATATGGACATGCTAACGGAACGAGGGTTCAAACGTAAACTATTGAGACATTTCCGAGAAATGAGGTTAACTTGTGATCCCGAATCTAAGAGGATTCGACAAGGTTTTTGTGATCTGTCTGCGGCACAAACTAAGGCAACGGCGGTTGATAATAATATGGATTTACCGTCCGATACGCTAGATGTATGAGCAGTGATAGCGTCCGGAGCGGCTGGCGCCGCAGTGTCTTTATCATTATTCTTTTCACCGCTTGACACGGCTTGTTCTGAACCCGTGGTCTGTAAGTGTAGCAATGTGTTATGTTTACGGGTGCAAGTTTTGCAACCCCCTGACGTGCATTTATTCGCGGTGTGAGCTGTTGATCTCAAGCAATTCAGACATATTTTACGAGTGCGAGCTTCTGCTATTCGTTTAGCAATGGGAAGTGCCAGAAATTGAGGGCATCGATAAATCAAGTGCGCGGCTTTACAGTATTCGCAATTCGTATTGGTGGCACCATTGCACGATACCTTTTGCTTACCATGTGGCTGAGAACGCGAGCTAGTACCGGATTTGCTGGTAGCCTCGAGAACTCGGCATCGATGTGACAGAAAATCGAATAATTTCTTTAATGTTGGCAATTCTGAGTCCTCCAAGGACGATTCCCATTCGCGTGACGTATTCGTATCTAATTTGGAACTGATAATGTAAACCAAAGGATCGTCCCACGCGTTGATCGGGCGTTTTAAAGCGGTTAGAGCTTGTACATGACGATTTGCGCCATCGGTGATTTGCCGTAATTCGGAGGCGTTCTCCTTTGTCATTACCGGCAGATCTAGAATTGATCCTATGTGGCTATGAACTATTGCCCTTTTGTCATCGTATCTACGTTTGAGAAGATTCCATGCAACCTCGTAATTGGCGTCCGAAATTTCGAGCGAACTTAACACCGAAATTGCATCTCCCGATAACGCGGCTCTCAAGTATTGTAGCCTATTAATATCACGGAGCGTAGGGTTCGTGTGTATGATTGAGATAAATGAGTCGCGAAAGGGGAACCATTCATCGTATTTCCCGGAAAATTTGGGTATATCAATCTTTGGCAATCGAATGGTACTAAAAGGCTCCGATAGCCCTGAATTATTTGCTGAAGTTCCCGGCAAGGACGCCGCAACGGTAGGTGTCGCAGACGAAGCTCTTAGTAAATCCCGCATCTTAGCTGATAAATCAAAATAGGCCGTTTCAAAAGAATCCCTGTCAATGGCCTCGGCCTCATTGAGCATTTCTAATTTAGTTTGTACATCGTTATACTCGTCCCAGAGTCGCTGCATTTTGTCTTTGCGCTCTTCGATTTGAGACAATATCGCTGGCGAAGGGCCTTGGACAGAGTCGACGTAATTTTTGATACGCGTACATGCTGCTTTAACGTTCGAGCGTCGTTTTTTAATAGCATTGAAATCGGCTTCGGTAGCCATTGCAAAAAAAGGGCTTCTGGTCGGGTAACGCTAAATAATTCTCTTTACCTTTACAATGTTACGGAGCGTTGACGAAGCGCAATGGGAGTGAGAAGGATGACACGACGTGACTGCAGACGCTCGACGCATGCGATTGGTCGCCGCGGAAGACGAAGCAAGATGGCTGTCGAAGTCCGTTGCCGGCTGCTTTCCCGTTGCGTAGCGGGAAGATGGCGGGAAGATGTCGGGAAAATGGCGGGAAGATGGCCGCCACTACTCGATGGCTGACGATTCCGGGTTGATCGGCGGGAAATGATCCGCATCGATGTGGCCCGAGTAGGCTGTGATGATGACCTCCTT